GAGAATTCTCGCTGAAATCATAAAAAACGCGCTTTTAATAAAAAACGCTAAATGAATCGTAAAAAACGTGTTTTTAATAAAAGTCGAGTAAATCGTAAGACTTTGCGATTAACTCGAGAAATTTATTAAAAACGACATCAGATCAGGAAACGATTCCGTAAAAGTCGGAAAACGGTTTTTATCGCAAAACGGTCCGGAATGACCTAAAACGCGATAAAACCCATCTCGCGATTTCAACGGAATCAAGCCCGCGGATTTGATAACGTTTTAACGGTTTACTCGCGGAAAGGAAATAAAAGTCAAGTTTAAACATAAAAGGAAGGTTTGAAGAGAAATAGAAGATTTCCGCAGAAGAAAAGGAAGGATCGAGAAGAATGGAAAGTTCCCGATTTAAGTCAAATCTGGGCGAAATGGAAAGATCGGATAGCCAAGATGAGGAGTATATAAAGAGGAGGTCCAGGGCAGAAGCAAGGAGACGAAATTCAGAGCTCTCACCACCAAAATTAGCATTTAGGAACTTTTCCGTTTTTCTGTTAGCGAGCTGCGTCTCAATTAGGGTTTTTCTAAGTTCTTACGTTTACGGCTACTCTTCTTGTAACCAGTTCAACGCAGATTCGGAATAAGAACCTTCTTGCTTTCAAATCTCTCTTATTTTCGTTTTTTATTCTAAGTATTTTTGTCATCTTATTTTCGTTGTGCGGTTCTCGCAGATAGCCGGTTCCTCTGGAAACTTAGGGTTTTCCCGAAGTTTCCTTATTTACGACTTATTTGACAGTAGGGTGAAATCGACTCCCACAGTTTGGCGCTAGAAGGAGGGGGGGGTCGGATCTATCTTACACCGTAACCGCAACATGTCCAACGAAGAAACGATGGCTGGTGACAACCAAACTCGCGACGAACGCGACAACGTTGAGACACCACTACCCAAAGACGCGCCCGCGGCCAACGCTACAAACGCTAACGCCGAGACCGTCGAAAAGATGCTTTCCGAGTTTAACAAAAAATCGGAAGAGCAGGAAAAGCTCATTGGTTCACTCGCAAAACGGCTCGAAACCCTAACTGCGAGAACCAGAGTAATTCGCCCCCGCGGAACTACTAAAATCCGCGGAAGGAGGCTCGATTTCGGCGCTCCTACGGATCGTCTCAGAAACGATCAGGGAAACGTACCGGAAAAGGATTCCGGAAAGGAAAACCCTGACACGACGCTAAACGAATCGGAAAAATCTCCTACTCGCGAACAGGAGACCGAAGGCGACGGCATCGAAAGGGTCAACCTGGAAACGAGCGACCAAGCCGACTCGACTGACGAAGACGCCGATGTTCATCCTAGGAGAAGGAAAACTCGCAGTCCTCGACCGGAGTCGTCTCCCGAACGTTCCTTTACTGAAGACGAAGGAGAATTCGACTTCGCGCGATACGCGAAAACCGCCGAGGAACAATCTCCGGTCACTCGCAGCAAACGCCGACAGGGTCGGAAAACTGCTGGCAATCAGACCGAGATTCGCGACCTCCGCGAATACATTACCAAAACGGCCGCAGCGGTAAAAGCGGTGAAATCTCAGATTCACCACGCGACCAGCGCCGCACCCGAGATCGATCGGCTGCTGTACGAGTCTCGGAAAACGCCTTTCACGGCTCGCATCACCGAGATCAAACTGCCCGATCCCGGAAAGCTTAAGGTGCCAACTTACGACGGGACGACCGATCCCAAAGCACACCTGCAAGCGTTCCAGATCACCATGGGACGAGCCAAGCTCAAGGACCACGAAAAAGACGCAGGTTACTGCCGCCTCTTCGTCGAAAACCTAGAAGGAGCTGCGCTCGAATGGTTCGCCAAACTTAGGCGAAATTCGATCGGAAGTTTCCGTCGGCTGGCTTCGGAGTTCTTGAAACAGTACTCGATGTTCATCAACCCGGAAACCTCCGACGCCGATCTCTGGAGTTTGGTGCAAGGGGAAGACGAACCTCTCCGCGATTTTATGAGTAGATTCAAACTCGTCATGGCTAGGGTTAGCGGGATCAGCGACAAAGCCGCCATCGACGCGTTAAGGAAATCGCTCTGGTATAAATCGGAGTTCCGCAGGTGGATAACTCTCGAGAAACCGCGGACAATCCAGGATGCGCTCCATAAGGCCACCGACTTCATAACCATCGAGGAGGAGACTAAAGTTCTGTCCGAGAAGCATAAGCCGACGAAAACATCCGCAAGGGATAACGCGTCCGAGCAGAGGCAGAAAAAGAAGAGCTCTCGTAACGACAAATTCGTCCATCACGAGGGACAGGATCTCCGAGGGGCGCATAATTACGCTGTCAACTCCGGTCCGGAGCAAGGGCGAACCACGGGTAACAAGTGGACGAGAAATTCGAATTATGACGAGAATGCTTTCTGCGACCTCCACCAAACCCATGGTCATTCCACCGTGAACTGTAAAGTTCTCGGCGCCAGGCTGGCCGCAAAATTAGTCGCAGGAGAACTCTCCGAGATATCGAGCGTTAAGGATCTCATCCGCGATTCGGACCGCGTCCCGAAGAACGACAAAAACGCGCAGACCCCGCCTCAGGGAAATCAGTCGGGTGAGAAACGCGGAAGAAAAACAGACGAGAAGGGTAACGACGCTAACCGCCGTAAAATCAACATGATCATCGGCGAATCACCGTACTTCAACGACACCGTCTCGTCGATAAAATCCTACCAACGTAAAGCCGAAACCGGCTCGAGTTGGAAGGTGCCGATGGACGATTCTCCGACAGGAGTAATCTCTTTCAACGATGCTGAAACCGGCGGAATCGACCAACCGCATGCCGACCCCCTTGTCATCGATCTCGTGATAAGCGATCTAGAGGTTGCGCGAATCTTGGTCGATACCGGAAGCACGGTCAACGTCATCTTCCGCAACACGCTAGCACGAATGGGAATCGACCTCTCGGAAGTCGAGCCGATCCCAAAACCGCTGACTAGTTTCTCCGGCGAAACGTCAATGACCTTGGGGTCAATCCGACTACCGGTCGTCGCGAAAGAAGTGACGAGAATCGTTAACTTCGCGGTAGTCGATGT